GTGTGTAATTTTCTCTACTTTTCACATGAAAATCATTTTCAATTTTAACTGTTAAATGATTTTACTATCGAAACACAAAAATGTTATAATTAAGCAACATAACATTTGGCACGCATTCAATTACGCAAAAAATATAATAACAATGCGAATAAGCTGCGTATTTTGTAATCCCACTGTTTAAAATAGAACACGGTTTGAGTCTTCGCATTTCTACTAAGTTTCTAGTGCTAAAGCCTGAAATAGTGACAGTCACGCCCATTGATGTCACAGGGCATTATAAATTGTGTGTGAAGTGAGAATACACTACGGTTGGATATTTGGATACCAGACGAAATCCCACAAATACTTGCCAAGATACCCACTAAATCAGCGATAATTAGACCATTGTATTGTTACGTAGACTATCGTGTAATGTGTGAAAATAAAATTGTAAATGAAATGTTAGAATCTAATGATCTTTTCACATTTATGTCGACTATTCTGAGAGCTATTTCAGTTGTGGAAAGTATTTAATTCACGAGGCCACACACGTATTACGTTCAACTGTTGGAACAGCAATAAAACTTATGGTGATGGCCAATTGTTTTACAAAGTTGAGTCAATATAAATAAACTTGTGTCCACAATCAAACACAGCATCGTCTACAAGCAAACAAAAAACAACTAATTCGTATCCGCACTAGTGTTTGAAATCAATACCTTTTCACTGAATTTCAATAACATATCATTGATTGAATTCATGCAGCGGCAATTTCTCTACACATAGGACAAATAAAAACCGACCAAGGGCATCTATTGGTATTGATTTATGGAGTAAAAACTGCCAATCGAACTTACGCGTGCTATGGACAATGCGGTATTGATTGTACCTAATAAATGTATATGTCTATGTGTATTAATTAACACCTATTATGTACATTGATCAATGAAATATTACAGATTTATTATGAACCAGAAACAGTTAAACACCAGCCCACAAGTACCGAAAACAAAGGTCGATTATCTCGTGTCAAAAAAAACAAAGCAATAAAAAGCTCAGACAATGTTATAAACACGCGGAACATTAGACAGTTTGCCAATTTCAGTTATGATAATGAACATTTTGTGATGCCAACGCATTTAATTGAGGACATAAGAGTGTCCTCTAGGTGCTTTACAGGGTTTTACCGCGTGGAAATATTGATAGAAAATTTTGTCAGGTACACACAAGCACCATTGAAATGAACCGATATAATCTTATCTTTAATGTTATTATGGAGAAACGATAATGTGATGCGCACAGACAGTCCACTCAGGACTCGTATCTCACCGATACAATTATCCCTAATGCCTCTTCTCAATCACTGGAACCGCAAACATTTACTTTGATAAGCATTCGATTTATTACAACTTTGATCTACATTGAATCAAAGTAATTTCGTCATTGGTAACCATCATTTCGTCAGTCGTCGACTCCATGTGACTCACTCGTAGTAAAGTTTTACCTTCAAATGACATTAATCTAATCGAGATATCGTATATTTCGATAGTCAGAGGTTCTTATTTTTTATCATTTCCTACAAACAAGTATAATGTAAATATAAATGTGAAAGTAAGTTTTTCTGGTTTTACTGAAGGTAAAGAAAGACGTTCTTATATCATTCGAACGTTTTAAGCTAAATGTTATCTAGAACTTAACAAAAGTAGATCAGAAATCGATACCTGAACTTTCACCGCGATAGATCTAAATGAGGCAATTGTTACAAGTATGATTGCAACTAAGCAAGTCTCAGTTTCTGCCAACTCAACCGCGAGTATCCATTTTGATGACGCATACAGCTCACATGACAGACCGGACACAGTGTAACCAAAACACTCGGTGTGCAGAGCATCACGTACACCATCTAGTACCTAACTACCTATTGTGTGATTTGCCTCGTTTCATTCAAGAATTTGTGCTAATTTCCAATAATAACAGCATATTTTTATTAGCACAAGATGACTGCGGTCATCATTATAATTTACCTCACACCTATTAGCAATAGTTTATGTTGTTTATTTTTTATATTAACCCTAATGAAACGTGAGGTTTTTGCTTAAAGATAAATACGATCTATTGTTCTGTAGTTAGCGTAATACATTTACTCCTATTTCTAGCGGTTTTGGACAATCCCAGGTTTTGCCTACATTTAAAAAAGGATGCATGACACATTTTAGACACCATAAATTTTGGTTACATAAATAATTAGTTTGTGGTTTTATAGTTTTTCTTGTAAGTGTAAGTGTAACTAGTGCTCCGCCCACGAGCTCATATACGTAGTATATTTGTTAAGGAGATAAAAATCTATGTATTGATCCAGGTCACGGTTCATACATCTGTATGTAAAATGTTTACAAAATATATGCAGCACTTTTGGAGGATAGTGGAGAAAGAGCAATCAATTGATTAATCTCTGCAACGTCACAAAACTGCATATTATGATAATAGACAGTTATAGATACAATTTGATTAAATTATGTTTGTCTATCTAATTTTCAGCTCTATTTATTTATGACTCCGTAAACATAGTAAAGCCGAGCTTTCATCTTAGATTGTAAACATTGTTGTATCTCGAAGGTCACGGTAATATATTAGTTGTAACATATTGACACAATGTAGGACTTTGTTAAGACAATATTACCTATGTGCATATATTGAACGATGCCTAGGACAACAATGACACATAATAATATTATGTAAGCCAGAATTAAATGGAATTTACTCAGAAAACATTGTTATGTATGTCAAACAAGAAATAAAAAGAATAGGTGTTGGATGAGTTTTGTATATAAACAGTCTTCTTTAGATACAAGTTACTATGTATGTGCTATATTAGCAATAAAAATATTAATTAAGATTTACTTGAGCTCTCGTAAATTTCACGGCACATCAACAGACTTAAGTATAAATAAACAAAGTATGAAACACGTGTTACTTGCATTCAGTTCCCCCATAATTTCAATTTCGCTGACAATGTTATTTGCAGTTTCTAGCAATGCACGAAAATCTGCAAACTTTCATCTGTGCACACATTTTTTCCTAGACAGATATGTGGTTCTGAACTGACATGTTACTCATTCAATACAATAATAGTTTTTTCATTTCGGACGCGAATTGATTCAGCATAGACAGCAAGATTTATCTTTACATAGTATGACGCAAAGCGGGCTCTGTCACGAGGCTAGCGTCGTAACAGGAAGAAATAATAATTATACTGAACGTTCCCCGACGAGATTGTCTAAATATTTATCCAAAAGTGAGATTTTTAAAACGGCAAACGTATCTAAGTGCGATGAGAAAATAGCTATTGCAAATATAAATTTCCGCATTCTACGTTCATTGAAGAAAGTTTGATGTGTTTATTTGCCTCCAAACTATAATAAAAGCAACGTCTCAGACGGCTGCTACTGAAAACTAATTGGCTATATTTATAACGAGTTAATTAACGGGAGAGGATAAACCACTCAATTAATTTGAAACAGAACAATGAACTGAATTTTCTTTGTAAAATCGGAACGGTAAATAAAATATTCATGGCTATGGTATTTGATGGAACATTCTATGTAGAGCATTGACATTGGCCCTGAGGCAATGAACGATTCTATTGGCCCTTTCTATTCTTGAATAAATTCGTGGAAGGACCACGGGTTGATTAACTTCTTATTGGGGCATGAAATATAACTGGCCGATTTATCCGACACACAGCCGGGTGTAAAATAAAGTGGGTTTAGGGACACTGTAAATTAATAACAAGAGCAGAACCATGTTTAATGGGGCCGTATTCATTAAAATTATTTTAAGTGATTGAGACTAATTCCTGGAAACCACATTATAAAAATTAAAGCTACGACGATTCAATTGAAATGCACTTTTTTACGTCAATAGTATAAAACAGTGCTAGGATGAAAATGGAGAATGATGATTGAAAGACTGAAAACGGATTGAGAAATTCACTTATAAATATTAAAATCGCCATCACATATATGTGTATACTTATTATTACTTATGTACACTGAAAAATTAGAACGTAATTATTAAATTATATCAATGACTGGTCATATCTGTACAAATATTGGTTTGGGTAATCCAAACTAATAAGCAAATAATCGTCGATTTGAAGTATAAACATTTTACGTATGTAATTTATTTTAAAAAGTTTTTAACTCAAAAGTAAGTTACTTTTGACAGCTACGTAATATGGAAAAGGGCGGGAAAATGTCATTGGTAATGAACTATAGACAAAGTTGTATAGTCTTGACGACGAAGATATCATCTACACGGCCAAGGTTATGTGCTACAAAAAGTATTCTCAATAAATCGATACTACACCACTATTTGGCAAAAGTATTTGAGTATATTTGAAAGTGGTACCTATATTTCAGTAGAACATTCACAATTTGTATACGTCTATAAACACTGCGTGCATCTCTACACACATCCATCTTTATAAATGGATCTAATGGAATCTAATCGATATTAATGAAAGGTATACGAGAAGTAGTTGCGGTTGGCTGTGAAAAGATGAGTTTATTTCTTATGATTTTGTTGCAATGTTTTGCTAGTAGTGCAACAATTTACTGTATATCAAGTCTATGCAAGTCTAATGCCCGTTTCCACAAACCTCTCCTAAATTATAAGGAACCTCTAAGCTAACACAGGTGACATTTAACGACACTTTGGTTTTCATCAACCTATAAACCTATAACCTAAGTGACTCCTAACAGTACAAGTAAGGGCTTAGTTTAGGCGCTACGCCACGCTAAGTAACTTTTAATTAAGTGATGATTTCGGGGTTGGTGGAACGTCCATTAAACACCTTGTCTTTGCCTAAGTTAAACATATGAAGCTTAAACATTTTTAAGCTATTAACTCGTCGAGTACCGGTTTTGTAGACACAATTATAGAACAATAGGTTGCGGTCACCGGTGACTGCTTGGTGTTTGACAGTTTAATATGTATTATCTATATTTAATGACATTTTATTGATGTTTCGGGTTAGTAAAGGATTAATTAAAAATTTATTTTGTTATGATTGTGAGTCATTTAAAAATTTCAAAGTGATGACCACAATCACTATTTACATTGATTACTTACAAACCAATACCACAAAATATTAATGCGGTGGCATGGCATCGGCACTGGCGCCAAGTTTCTCAAACAAGGAAAAAATATTATAATATGAACTTTATTGTTAACATAATAAGGTAGAATATTAAAACAATTTACTGCAACAATAACACTTCTAGTTCTTTAATTGTACTAGTCGATGCATTCGCATGAATTTTAAATACAACTCAAGAAATGTTTTCAAAATATTATGCGTTAGATGTAGATGAATGATAACATCAATTATATGTATAGCTAATCAAACAAGAAAACCTTTAAATGGTTTTGCGAGCGGTTAATTAATGTATAATGTCATTATCAAATAATTTATGGAAAGCGCAATTAATAAAATACACAGCGTCGTGAAGAAAATTGTAATTATTCATGGTTAATTTTAAAAAAGCAGTAACCTTCATCTGTGAAAACGAGCACTGGGCCGAATGTGTCATTGTGTAGCTTTTCGTTGTTGTGATGCGCCGGCGCATGCACCGAGCTCCGCAGCAGTGCGGACAGTTTGTCACGCATCGCATCGCACATGCGCACGCCGCACCTTGACACCACCGCTCGGCGCCGGCGCCGACTATTATTCACTGCGGCTATATCAGCGCACTAACCACCACACACCGCCAAAATTCTAACGTATTCAAAATACCACGATTGCTGGCTCGGTCCAACGTCACTTACACCGACACCGACTGTCCTTCCCAACTCAATGTCACACTGCACTTGACTGCTAGACTCCAACTTATATCAGTCTCTCTATATCACAAACACATCACACACTACGGACACGATCGTGACGAAACAATTATTACGAACACCTATATTGCTTACGTCCACAACACGACCTTTGCTATTCAAGTACTGAACACGAGGAAGTTTATTATTTATCTAAATAATTGTAATTAAATTAAATAATCATCTAATTACTTGAATAAATATATTATCACAATTTTTATTGACATAAGACTTGTATTTTATTTATAAATTATTTTTTATTTTAACGATGTACGTGGAAATGTTGTAAAGTTTTTTTGTAACTGGAGAGATGTGAGGTGAGAACAGTTGCGCGGGGCGAACTGTCTATTCCGGGCGTGAGCGAGCACGTGGGCGCGCCGCCCGCCCTGCCGCCGCCGCCGCGCGCCGCCCACCGATCAATGGCCACGAGATTTGATATCTCGCACAATCCACATCTCTGTACTTGTCACAATATCACCATTTAAGTAAATTCGCACGTGACTCTTTTAGTAATGTGTACACTGTATTATTAGGCGCGATTGTTTACTATTTTTTTTAATAAGCAATGACCGAATGATTATCTAGTCAACTATCTGGACATTTATTTGTACATTTGGACTGGTTTTCATACTTAGTAGGTACTTATAATTAAATTACACAGAATAAATGTAAATTGGTACGGAAATCAATATGATATAAAAGTACTATATAAAGAAACGTTGTTAATATAGAATCAGGCTAATAAAATCCAATAGGACCCACAAAAAGGATTGCCTACATCTCTAAACGTAAATTTACGAGGGTTTACATGTTATTTCTATCCATAGAAAAACAACTGTAGCTAAAAGGGAAAATACTTTCAGTCCATCAACCGAGATGGTGACGCAATCGACGCCGGGGATTGCGACCTACAGTAACCGACTCTAAGGCTTCTCCAATAAAACTCACTCGTGTAAACGAACTTTGTAAACAAGCCAAAATAAATTGAAATGTCCTTATCGGCCAAGTATTAAAATTCGCTTTCGAAAAATAAAATAATCACTCGTTTGAAGGTAAATTTTCTTTCAATGCATTATGTGTTCGAGGCACAGAGCCCACCGCCTGATCAATGGGCTTTATTTATTATAAAATTACGTTATTCCCATCTGTTATACGAAAAAAAGCTACGCAATAAATCATTCAAATGATACTAATTCATCAAGATAAGATTCCATTTTAATTTGGAATCGGTTTACCTCAATGAAACGTTATATTAGCTCGCGGCAACAATGTTGTTATGCATTTTCCATAAATTATTCATTTTGTAACGAAAATATCTTTACATAAATAATATTAAGGATCACGTCCAGTTTTATCTTGGTAAATAAATCGTACGTAATAAAGTTTAGAGATATATTTCAATTACTCTATAAATGTTCGCTAGAGACCGTGATGAATGTTCGTGTTATACTGTTTATTTTGCTTTATTCCTAGCCTCTATATCTGTCTTGCAGCACGCCCAGGTTACATAGTTTTACCCCATTACAATAAAAAATATATTTTTGAAAAGCTAGCTGCTACTGTGGTGGGATGGCTTATAAATCTTTAGACAAACAAAGCTTATTTAGACGGTCGTGGTCCAACACGACGCCGACGATTCCTTGGCACACGTTACAATTATCACAAATACCAACTGAGTGCCATGCATCTTATTGCAGAACGGCCCAAACTAAATGCACTTTCGTCCCTTAATGTCAAAGAATATTGAACCTAAAAGCAAAGGCGTGAAGGTAATGTTTTATTTTTGCCACGGTAAATAATATTTGTCATATATTAGTTGACGTTGGAATATCTAGCGTTTGTTACATTGAAAAAAATGTCTTTGAAAATGGAGAGTAGGTACCTACCTAACTACATGTAGAGGCCGACATATACATAGCCGCAATTGACAGAAATAAACACGAAGTAGAACAAAAAAATCAAATGATGTATGTATTTCTGTGGCAAATGTGGACAGGTTTTATTGATTGGATATTTCATCGCGTGTTTGCATTCCCACAATCATAATTTAGATATTATATTGCCTGCTACATCATATCATACACGTCATCATTCACACTATTTTATAAATACTTACGTTAGATTTAAAATAAAATCATTTTTAACATGAAATCTTAGTCACGAAATTTCTATAAACTTTCACGTTCTAATGATTTTTGTTTTCAACAGTTGAAAGTGGTTTTGGCAAATAACATAACACATGTGATAAATATTAGGTACCCAATACCCACTTTAGTAAATTAATTCATAATATTATGAATTTGGCATATAGCCATTATTACTACGAATTAGTTTATTAACCGTCACAAATACAAGATACGAAATATGGTCACAAATGATTTCTGTTTGGTCACCACACTATTAAGAAGTAATAAAACTTTAAATAGCGAAACAGTGCGAAATTCTTGTGAAACGCAGTGCACCATAAACACGTAGAACAATTCGACACCTGATAATTTATTACACACTAAACAATTCGATATTTGAATATATCACAGATAAAAAATGTTCGCACACAATTCTTGAATTTAATTTCACGAGTCCAACTGACTGGGGGTAAATGAACCCTCGTTGTGACAGCAACATTCACAGACATTGTGTCGCCTGCGTCCTTTGCGCCCTTCAAATGACCTTCAACACGTTTTCCTCTGTAAACCTACCAAACTCTTCTACATACACTAGCTTATTGAACCAATCCAGTAGCCAGTATATCCAGAGCAAACTCTGTTTTGTCTTATTTATCACTCGCGTCAAAGAATAATCAATAAAGATTTTTTTACTTGAAAACAGTGACAAATTAAAACAACGAACGTTCACACTGAAATGTGTCTCCATTTCCATTATATTATTTATGAGATGAGAAGTAACAGTTGGGCATGTCTATGAACTGTGGATGGACACTTAAATACACATTAATGTCAGTTATATTTAAGAAGTCACACAATTTTAATTAGGTAGGCCTGTCAGATGTTTAGTACGGTCAATCGCAACCGTTTTGTAACTAAATAGTCGAAATACACCTACAAAACTGAAACAGCTTCACGGTAATAAACAACTAATTAAGTTTTCTGAATAATTGAAGGAATCTGTGTGATTACTTGTATTTTTTTTAGTAACTACGTCTCCATAGTTTACTTCAAAACGGAATGCAAGCCGTTTTGAGTTTCTGAGTCATTGGTTTGATAAATGCGCCAAAAATTTTATGAACCTAGTCTTATATTTCAGCGTGCACTTTACAACATACAAATAGCTAAAAAAAGAAAAGGCATCATTATTTTATCTATCATGCAAATGCATACAAAATACAAATTTTATTTCTTAATTTCAATAGAATTCACTTAGATATAATTTGTATAAAACTTGAGTGTAATACAGGTAATTTTGAATAAGCTGTGTAATATTTTACTGTCGTTTATCAAAAACGCAGAATTAACAAAAGTGAAAATGTAATTACTATTAGATTTGCAAAACCTGAGCTAAGCGAAACGTGTCATACAGTAATTTATTGAAAAATGTAGTTATACGACCTACATAATTATTGAATCATCAATTTTTACTGGACCTAATTTATTATACTGATCCGAGAATACATAATTACCTCTATATTAATTGTTTTTATCTAGTGTTAATTGTTATTTCCGTGTTTATAATATAAATCAATAAAAAGCCACATACGTTCTAGAATCACATAATTGAGATATATAGAAAACTGCCGATTTATGTAATTTTTTTGTTATGAAATAAATTACAATATCATTACAACAAATGAGTGTTGTCATTATACTCGTGTGTTATGTTACTCGTAGCAAGACTCCTTTATATATGCGAATAAAATATATATAAAAGTACATAGCAATCACCGACGTAATATTACGCATTCTGTTTCGGAAAGATTCTGAGAAAATCTGTAAAAGAATGTCTGCAATATATTCGCTCGAAACGTTTTCAACGAAACGAAGAAAGCAACTTTACAAATGCAAGTTTCAAATATTTCGGTAAATCTTATATACCGTCTTAAACTTGTTACTATTTACGCATTGTTCTCAATGCTTACATTACGTTGGTACTGAAACCTAAATCAACGTGTAGTTTAGAGTTTTGTACAATCGAACTATTCATGAACAAACATAACGTCAGTCAACCACCTAGCTATTTATACTCGGTTACAATACATTCTAAATATGGCCAATGTATTTCCAAACTATGCTTCAACTATCTTAATTTGTGTGTATATAAAAGAACAGCACAGATCCGTATTATAATTAGACGCGACGGTCAGTTATTCTGAGATTGCGAACGATGTCATGTGACATGGCCTACAGCATGAGCCTGGTTTCTGGAATCATTACGTTCCGACTCGCAATAAAACCAACATTATTACATAAAGTACAATCTGCTAATAATGTAATGTGAAGTTTTCCATTCACGTAATAATAGGATTCATAGGTACTTGAACCAATTAATACGAAGCTGCTATATATAGCAAACAGTTGACCATAAAGTACTCGCTTCATTCTTCTGTCTACTAATGTTATGCGGCTCAAGGTCGTCTCCCCATACTTATAATTTGTGTTCAAGGTTACGCGTTATCTAAACTTTAAAGTTTCAAATAGAGAGATTCTCCGAGAGCACGTTGAGAGCGAAATCAGCGTGGTACTAATCAATATATTTCACGCATGCGTCACAATGACTTTTAAACGTCTTCGAGTACTCGGGAGCGTAGGCATTTGACGTGTTTTTCTGTTTCTAGCAATGAAAATGTCATCGAAACGAAAGATAGTAAACTTTTGTAACTTCACTCTAGATGACTTTAACACAGCGGTTATTTCTCGGGTCACCTATTTATCTGCCCTTCACACAAGGACAACTGTATTCGTCCAAACTCGAAAAGGTTTTATGTTACATTTTAGTTTCAAATGGCAATCATGTAGTGGTCAAGTAACAATAGTTGGCCGTTGAACTACTTTACCGCGTGTAACCTCAAAAGGGGGTCGTGATGTCCCTCGAGTACCCATTCAGCGTTAACCTTGTAAAACAAAATGAGGATTGAGAATTGTTAATAAAACCTAGTCATACTACGGCCCACGCTGTAAACAAATTACGATCCTGAATTTAATTAAGTTACGCTTTAATA